AAAATCAATCTTCCAATTTCCATTGCACATGTCGTTTCCAAAGACATCGGCATGGACGCAAGGCGAGGGAGACAGGAGAGCTACCCAAATGGCCACAAGTGCTGGGCGACACTTTGCTGTTGTTGCCAACACCTGAGCGACACCTGTTGCCGTTCCGACACCATGCGACTGGCGGGTTGCAGATGGTTATACAGTTATACAGTACTTGTAGTGATTATAGTGCAATGTGACGTTCGAAGTTTGTCAAGACGTATTACGTGTTTTTAACTTTCCTTGTTTGTCTAAAACTGAGTGGTCTCAGAGCTCTGAGAGCTGCCTGGAAGGGTTTTGTGATCTTCGTGTTCGGTCGCTGGTACGGTGTTTTGGGTTGATTTCCCCACCTCTTTGGCATACTCTTTTGGAAGAAGCGTTAGGCTTGTGCAAGCAGCATAGTCTCACCATGATTCATAAGATTTCATAATTTTAAGATGTTCTTTTTTCACTTCGGTGAATGCTTGCCAGATTCTGTGACCGAAAAAGACCCATTGATCAAAAAGGGCCGGCAACATTTGGAACGAAGGTTTGTTTTCCCGAAGGTTTTACGTCATTCGCGTGCATCTTCATCTCGAAGTTCAAACCAGACACAGTAGCATCTGCCTTGCCATATAGTATCTGCTTGAGATCTCTCAGAAATGGCGCACCGAAGTGAGGACACTTGCGCACCGATTCAGTGACACTGCTGTGTCGCCCTAGTGTAATTGTTCAGAAAGAAATGCATTGAGTGCCATGTGCTTGAAGGGCGCTACAAAAGGCCCATGTTGTGAGTTGGTATGCTTCTGTTCTTCTGTGATGTGGACCTCGTAATCCTGCGTTTTGGTCTGCGTCATTCCGTTGCTGTGTCGCCCTGTCCTGTCCTGTGGTCCGAATTCGGTGATCGACCTGATTGAACAGTGCCACAAGATGACTATATACAGACTCTTGAAGACCTGACGTGACAGACGTGCCGAAAAAGAAGAACTCAGCAGAATCTCAGTACTTTGAATATGAGGTTGCCCTTGTGGAAGCTCTCCGCACTGGCTGTGGCCAAGGGTCAGGCCTTGGATGCCGGCCGCTCTCGGACTCCCACTCCGTCTGGGTCCTCGGCTGCAGGAGTCGCTCACGCACTTCGTGGCTGGGCCTCCTCTCGGTCCGGGACTGAAAAGCGGTCGGAGGTATCGAACACAGAAGACTTCCAGGTGGACTCCGTCAAAGGACTAGTAAAAGCTTGAAAAGCCTTGGCCCAAATATGCACAAATCAGAGTGTCCCCCAAAAAGGGCGTATCTTTACCACAACTGACCAGTCACGACTTAGTGTGCCGCCGATTCGTGATCCATCCCCAACTCCCAACCCATCCTTTTGGGTTCGGCGCCCAGGCGCGAATTTGGGAGCACAGCGGTTGCTCCGGCGTTTGATTGAAGTGCTCTTGAGTGAGAAGGCCTTTTGATCTAAGAAGCACCAATTTCTCGATGTAGGGTGAGCACCTTTATGTTCACCTTTGGAAGACACACCCCGGGTGCGCGTGCGGAAGGCAGATTTCATGGACATCGCACTGTGGTTTGCAGCCGAACCTTCATCTGTCAGGATCTTACTCAGCATAATAAGTGACGATGCGAAGTGAATCTAAGCGAGCTAAAAGTGCCGCTTCCAGCTGGCATAGAGCACCAGGACAACATGCGACAAGGTACATATCTCATTGAACAGCTGCAGATTGGATGTCCTTCACCTTCCAAATCAAGCCCTGTTTGGTCACCTTGGACTCATGCACAGCTAAGGCTGCCCTCCTGACCAGTGGGGAAGCAGTGCGCTTCCTTTTACCAGAGGCTCCTGACGTTTTGCCATTACCTTTGAAAGCTCATTCATAGCTTGTGGCTTCAGGCTGCTAACGATGACGAATTTGTGTCTTTCCGGCAAGTCAAAAGCTCAGGTCACGGTCAGTCTTGGACAGAGCTCATAGAGAGACACAAGCGTCGGGAAGTGAACGCCTTGCGTCAGGAAGGCTTGCTTCTCACGCAAGAAAACCTGTCCTATTTGCAAAGTCACCTTCTAAGGCTGCGATTCTTTTTTAAAGACTGGCTGGACGTGAAGAGAGCACACCAGCAGTCACTAGCACACTTCTGGGTCCAGGCTGCCAAAGCAGCTGCGGGTACATGTCTCTTCCTACTGGCGCAAGGCAGTAGAAGAGGCAGGGAGGCCATATTATGCCATGGCGAAGCGCACAGCCCGCACGAAACTTCCGACGTGAACAGGTGCATCTCTATCTGCAGCTCTACCTCAGAGTCATAGAGGCCACTTTGGCATCTACTAGACCAGTTTGGCAGCTTCATATAGAGGGTTTTATTGTTAGGTGGGATTGTCCGATTTGCTCAAGCTGTTTCATACATCTCCAGCGAGCGTTGAAAGTTAGTTGCAAGCTGCAAGCAGCAGCGAAGTTGATCTTGCAGGCTTTCCTGGAGGTGCAAAAAGAGGCCTCAAACAGCGAACGAGTCATATGACACATGGCCAACTTTGAGCAAACCTCAAAGCAGTTTCAAGCTCTTTGTTTTCCTGTTGCTCCAGGTTCACAGCTTCGTACAAAACCAGCTGTTCATCGAGGTGCTCCTAGGGCTGTGTCCAGCTCAGTGCACTCGTTTGACCCAGTGAGTCCGAACAGGAATTGAAGCAACCGACGAACAAAGAGCCCCTAGTAGTAGTAAGGCCAGGAGCCCCTAGTAGCTTCTTGTTACTAGTAGTAATGGCCTCCAACCTAATAGCGATGGCCTCCACCTAGTAGCTTCTTGTTCAAGCAACAAAGCACCAAAACCAATAGATGTATACAAACGATCCAATGGATTCTACAGGATTCTACCATACACGACAAGTGCACTAATGACCACATGAAGTGTTGTTCAATGGCAACAGAACCATTCCTTGCCACTCTATGGGTAAATTGCGGAGAGTGGTGCACCTGTTTTTGGCCACAGCCGTGGAGCGCCAACGCGTCCTAGGCCGTTGCTCACATGGCTTTCCACTGATGGGCTCTCGGTCCGCGGAATACGTGCGTAGCTGGAGCTGTGAAATCTGTGGAATGCGCTCGAAGATGAGAATGACATAGAATGACAAGAATGATTCTCGGGTCGAGAAAAAGGGTCTTGAAGAATTGTCATTATTGTTTGAATTGAGACCCCTTCCACAGTGTCACATGTGCCCCGTGTGCCTGGCAACTTCTACTTGATGCGGACACATCATGTTGTCATTAGCAAAACGAGCAACTATGTTTGTCGGCAGAGCCGGATTCTGAAAGCTCCATCTAGAAGCAAACAGTGCAATACTCATCTAATCTCATCTATTAGAAGCGAACTGTGAGAGAGACCATTCGCCAGACACGCCATAACCTTGGCCAAAGGAAGTCATGCGCCAGCAGGCTTTGAAAACAGTTCGCCAGGTCTCAGGATTACTTGATGCACTGTCACTGTACCTTGCTGTTTTTTCTCTCTTGTTTTCAGAGCAAGTTGTTTTCAAACTGCCAATACCTTTTGACTTCACTCACACTCAACCTGCCAGCGTCGAATATGGATACGATCCGCAACATGTGTTTGCAGCAAATCAGGACCAAAAAGGGAAGTAGCCCCCAGCCCCCTTGCTGCTTTGCGCAAGAGCAAGGCGAAGCATTTTTAGTCGAGTACTTTTTGTGCCTCATTGAAATCGCCCACGCATTGTTTGCAAGTGGAGGTTCAGGAAGCATGCCCAAGAAGACCAAGGGAAGCAAGGGAGCAGCAGCAGGAGCGCTTTTCCTTGATGCGCCAAGTGTTTTCGGAGAGACCACTTGTGACTTGTGTCAATGATGGAAAAAGTCTCAACACATTCGATCGATTTCTTCTGGGAACCATTCGTTCGACAGTGACGATCCCGGTCCCTTCCGATCTCCCCGGATTGACGTTTTTGATAGGCCGCTTCAAGAAGGCGGGGGACGGTGCTCTTTTTTTTGCAGAGCTCAGATCATGAGTGTCCGCTCATGTCTTTATTGGGGTGACGACGCCTGTCTGCCTGTCGGCTCAGGGTCCAGTGATGGATGGCTTCAGGACGTGGGGAATCAAGCTGCACACTGAAAAATGCCGTTTGAGATACGCACAGAGGTGCAGGATAACATAGGATAACTAATTTGGTCTGGGAGTTGAGTTGCACTGCCTAACCAACGTTGCAGCAAGCTGCCCCGACCCTGCAAAGAATGAGGAAAAACCGATGCAAATGCTGACCACGCAAGCGGGTCATGCAACTTCAAATGAACCAGAAGGCTCCCAAAAAGGATGACAGGTGCAAAGCATGAAATGGCATCGGTGGCATCTTTTTTCGGCGGAATTGCACGGCCAGAGGATTTGACCTTGTCAGCCACAGGTACTGAAAGCACGAAGACAAGCGTGAGAAGCTAATCCTGGTGTCGTGAGTTACACTGTAAGTTCGTTTGCAAATAGTTCCTTCACAGTTGACGAGAGTGTTTTTAGCCCTACAGTAAACAAAAAACACACGAATATTAAGAATATATATATATATATATATTAAGTACATATATATATATATTTAATGTTATGAACACTTGAAACCGTTCCGATATAGGGACTTACGGCAGGACCATCGAAGAGCCGCAGTATTTGTCCGTGAAGGCGTGAAATCTCTTGCGTCCCCAATGGCGAGAAGATTGGACCTTTGTTTTAAAGGGGGGTAGGCCGTAGAGGTAGGTAGCTAGGGAGTCGCTAGTAGAAGAGGTAGCTAGTAGCTTAAGTAGCTACTACTTAGGATGCAGGATACCTCATGGGCTATTCATTTGGTTCCTAGATTTTTAGGGAAACTTCACTATAGCTGTCATCCCACCGGGCCGCCTCACAGGAGGAGAACATTGCCCCCTTCACCACGCCGTACGAGGCGAACCGACGGGTCGTGTCTGCGGACGCAACGCGGTCGCGGTGAACGCCGAGCTGAGGCGTTCACCTTTGAGCCAGAGCCAGACATGGTGGTCAGTAGCAAGCTTACAAGTGCTGGTCGAAGCAACTGGACAGATTTCGTGCTGCGATCACGACTCTAGGCCACTTCAAGAATGGTGACAAAGAACGAAAAATTTACTGCAACATCGAGCTGTATCCAGAGGATGGGCTAGAAGACGAAAGATTGTGCTGGTTGAATGATATGCCTGATATATGAAGATACTTACAGACCGCTAGCGAGGCATGCTTTTTGTGATAATGAATTCGAGCAATTGTTTTGCAAGGAGCAAGCGAGCATGAAGGCTTTGCAGGAGACGAGACTAGACTGGACATGAAATGTCTTAGGAGAGCCCTATCGAAGCCCTGATTTAGCTGGCTTGGCTTTGGAATTGGCTGACTTGACATCTTCGAAGCGGAAGATAAGAAGTCGCCGCTGATTGAAGCGGCGCCGAAGCCGAGACGTGCCGTGCAGGAAGAAGCGGAGAAGCAGGGCTTAGAGTTTTTCCCTTCCATTGTCCCTCCGGCCGGTTGAACCAAGACCAATCAACGAGACAAACATAATACAACATATTACGAAAGCCAGCCCATAGGCTAGGCTTGAGCTTTTAGAGTGAACGAAGTGAGTTAAGGGGGTGTGGAGGGGTGGTCGCTGACGAGGACCTTTGGATACCCAGAGCTTGGTGGGGGAGAGCGCTCCAAAGCAAGGGTTAGAAAAGCAGTGAAAATGGGGTCTGGTGATGCGAGTGATGTAATGGACGCCGAGGAGTGCATCATTAGCATCATGAAGGGCTTTGGAGGCTACTTGGACAATGGGCATTGAGCAATCGAGTGGAGACAGGGACCCACGTACACAGCGGACCGCAGCCGCATGTAGGATACGAGTTGCCAGGACAAATTGTAACTCGCGAAGTCTATAGAGAGCCGAAAGTGAGATGAGTTCAAGTCCATGAACTTGAATTGAGTTTCGGTGGGGATGCCTGCGAGGTTGACTACATATCCGCACAGGGATCCTGGTCCCTAGCAAAAACTATACGTGCACCATGTCCTCGGTCGAGTGGATGCTTCTCGCGGCGTCCACACGCACCGAACGTTTTTCCGGCTTGCCGGTGCAGATAGATAGACAGATAGACAGATAGATAGATAGATAGATAATTTCTATATACTACTGACTCATGACGTCGCCTTTTTGCTAGCAGCCCTGGCCGAATCCAGTTAGCCTGGGTCCACGGCCCAAAGATCTACACACGCAGGTGCCAAAGTCAAGGCCTCTGAGTGAGAAAGGCGCAGAGTTGATAAGAAAGAGAAGAATAAAGAAGGTGTTTGGATCGTTTAATAAAGGCCCCTTTAAAGGAAAAGGATTGTGTTTTGGATCAAGCCAGAACATGACTCACTCAAGTCCAGGCATGTGCATCGATAGGCACGCAAATCCTCATTCCTTTGCTAGCCCAAGTTACTCCCGCTGGACCTCCCCTTCTGCGCCGCGGGATCAAACGTCCGTGTCCCGGCTAAGACCTGCCCGTTCACTTTTCCAAAGCAACGAACGCCGCTTTTTGACGCGCCGCAGTATGCGCTGCAAACTTCAAACACTCCAAATGTAGCAAACACATAACTGCTTCTTTTCAAACGCACGCCGTAGTCGCGCGGCGATGCTGACTATGGAGAAGGTCTTCCTGCGCGCGCACGTGGCATCCCCCACTCGAACTCAGACGGTATTTCCCCTTCCCTATCGCTGATGTCGCCTTCCAACTTCCATAAGATGCATACCTTCCTGCGTGTGACAAACGCATGCCTTTGCCTTGTGATGAAGACCTACACACCAACATACAACGTATCGCATTTTTGTTTCACTACTTCTTTCATACCAAGCTTATCCCAAAGCCGCCCGGCTTGCTTCTCTGCTCCCTCCATCACCATTACATACGCCCCCCCGCATCCGCGGCACCGCTGACTCGCAAGCTGCTGACCATGTGTCTTGCGCCGCGACGCCCGCCAGAGAAAGAGACACTCGTCTGGCGGCTGCTGGCTTTCGTCCCCCCTTCTCAGGTATATATATATGTATAAGTTACACACTAGTAAATAACATAATATCCACACATAGTACGTATTCTGCCAATATTTGCATTTATGATTAGGGCGTGGGGTGTGCACTCATGTGACTGTCCCAGCTGTATCACTTGACAAGTCCTAGAGCTATATAGAATTATATAGATATCGTGTGCAAGTCCATGCAAACGTGACGACATAAGATGAACAAAGAAGAGGATACCACATCAAAGAATGCGTCCTACCAACAGCAGTTGCATCCGGATTCCAGATGCCAAATGGATATCAGATGAGATAGATGAGTCTCCAGTGCCTCTCAGACTCACCACGCCAGGCAATTATGGCCGGGCGATTCCTGAGCAGAGCCCGCGGGGATCCTCACAAGGCACCTGTGGGTGGGACATGTGACCAGCCGGCTGACCACATTTATTTAGATAGAACGCAACATATCTAGAAGTAAAGCAGTCAGAATTTTGGAATCTCCTGAGAAACTTGAAACAATGAAGTCTCTTTCAAGACATTGTTGTTCTTTTCGACAGCTTGGGGTCTGCAGCCATAGTGAGAGGGTGCCGTGTAGCGTAGGGTTCAAGCTTTGGGGCAGTTTCCGAAGTGTTCGGTGTCAGGTTCTGGAGGAGGTTCCCGCAGGTTAGGAAGGTTCTGAAAGAGGGTCCAGGGTGAGCGGAAAAGGCAGTAGAGCAGCCGAGGTCCTGGACGGTGAAGAGCTTCAGGGTGAGGTTTCAATAAGATTTTTGGGTGCCTCTATTAAATTTGTGGAAGAAAGGTACTCGAAAGATTAAAAGGGAAACATAATATGAAACAGAACCTCAGGAGAATAGCAAAGCATCCCACCACTTGGATCCCTCGCTCACCGCGCAGAGTACTAAATTTTACTCACGGTACTTTGGAGAGTGGAGCGATCAGAGCAACGACCAGCGACATCCAGCGACAGGCGATCAAGCTGATGCTTGCAACGCAAGAATGGAAAGCAGACTACTTCAAGGCACTGAAGACGCTACTAGGGGTTCCTGGCCTTACTACTAGGAGCAATTCTTGCTACTAGCAGCAAAGGGCATTTCTACTAGGAGCAAAGATGCTACTACGGTTCGGTGGCTTGCGAAGATTGCGAAGAAAGGACCGTTTGAGTCGAGTTTCAGCAGCGAAACCGGACGCGTGCCAGGCCGGACCTGTGGCTGATACTCAGGTGCTAGAAGACTTGAAGTTCTGTCCTTGGATTCTGAACTGGCTGCTGTTCAGCCATGCTGCAACAGATTTGTACTGGACACACACTTTAACTTCAAGCTCAAGTTCAACATCATCATCGTCATCGTCGTCAATTGCTTTTTTTCTTCTCTTCTTCTTCTTCTTCTTTTTCTTGTTCTTGTTCCTGTTCCTCTTCCTCTTCCTCTTCCTCGTCCTCTTTCTCTTCCTCTTCCTCTTCCTCTTCCTCCTTCTTCTTCTTCCCTCTTCTTCTTCCTCCTTCTTGTTCTTCTTCTTCCTTCTTCTTCTTCTCCTCCTCCTTCTTCTTCTCCTCGCGCCTTCTCGGTCTAATTTTACCTTGCGCGTAAAGCACTCAGGTACGGAGTAGTCTACTTCTGCGGCCGAGATTACGGATTGAGGCGCTTGTTCACAAGGCAGAGCTTGTTGTGCAAAGATGTCTTGAGCTGACCTGGCAGGCCCACCATTGTTTGCAGAGCAAATCGCATTCCGGATGAGTGGTACAAAGACTGTTCTGGGAAGTTCTGAATGTGCAGAGTCATGCCATGTCTGGTTTGACTACGGACTCAGCTGCCTTTCATTTGGTCCTTATAGGCCTATCAGGCACTAAAAAAACGTATTGTAACAAAAGCAATCTGTTGTTGCAAAAAAAGAAGGCGATTCGAGCTGTGCGAAGAAGCCACAGAATCCGCCACGCAACAAGCCAGAGAAGTAAGACGAACGGGAACCGGGGCGGATGGCCAAGAAAGCAGCTCGTTTTCACGATTTTTGCCAGGTCAAGGGTCAGAGAGGAATACCTCGTCATGAGTTCAGTGGCGGACTAGATCAAATAGAAGCTGCGACAATTCCAATGCAGCCGAATGATTTGAACATCGGGGAAATACAGATGATAGGAGCAAATCGAAAGGTGCTAAAAGCAAGCATGAAAAGGAGTACAAAAAGGATCCAAGTCTTGACCCAAGCGAGCAACAAGGGGTTGGGATGGAGGAAGTTAGAGCCAAGAGTCATTTGCATGTGTCAGCTTGCATCCGTTTTTGCAGGACAAGAAAGCTGGCATTGAACGGCTCATCAAGGTTTTGATCTTTTGCATGGAATACATGTGTCGATACATGGTAGTGTCAGCTTCTGAGCTTCAGCCTTCTTTTTCACCTTGTCACGGAGAAGACAGAACATCAAGTCTCCATCGCTTACGCGAGCAAGTTGAAGGTCTTCTAGTAACTCATTCGTGAAGCGCATTTGCCGAACACTTCTGTTGAATGAGGCCTGGAAAGATTGAAAACAATTGCCTCGTTGTCGACCTCAAGGGTGAGACTCTCGGACTTGGCATGACTTGCTTTGGTGGCATGACTTGCTTCGGTGCCAGGTCTGGGAATCTCTGGCGTTCCAATCTCGGCCCTGTCTCAGATCTACTCGGCCACTTGGGCTGTGTTTTGGAACAGGTCACACCTTTGCATAAGCTTTGCCTAAGCTACGCTTTGCAAGCTAAATATGCTTTGCAAGCTAAATGACAAGATTGCAAGTTGGGCTTTTGTCAGGTCATGAGCCACCATTACATTGGTCGAGTTTTCAGGCGTTCCATCGGAGCCTATCCGATCTGTGTCTCAGAAGAAAACCCTTAACATTAATCCATATTAATCCGCTTGAGTGTGTAATGAAATAGAGAGAGATCCCAAAGACCGGCAGAAGGGAAATAGGCCAGTCTACCCATAGAGCCAGGGGGTCTCCCTATTAAAATCGACACCGCTTTGTCGCACAGATTCTACGTGGTGAACATGTCCAGCGGGCTCAGCACCATTGCTGGCTGGGTGCGTGGCTCAGACTGACCTTTCATTTCGACTCTCAGACCTTTCATTCGTGTTCGGTCGGTCGAGTTGAGCGCCATGAGGTCAAGGGGATTCTCACAGATCGGCAGAAGCCAGACCATCTCAGAATCTCAGACCGTTTCACGCGACAAACGCGACAAGGCAGAGACAAACAGGCCAAACAGCACCGGCCATGTGAGGCAAAAGCTCCAGCTTTTGGACCATTTAGACGATCTCAAAAAGGCGGGGCTAGATGATCTAGTATCCAGATGATGCACAACTGCTAAGCGGTGGCTCTGCAGTCATAGCTGTGTCAGTCATAGCACACGCTGGTTGGATCAACTCGATATGGTGAGGACTTTGCGCACCATCAGCTTGAGGAAGATCTTGGCCCGTGCACTTAAGTGGTACTCACCAAAATGGTACCACTTGTGTATAGCAAGCCCCTAAAATGAATCCTTCTGGTATGCTGAGGCGGAACAAGGCCGATGATCACAACCTTCTTCCCGTTCCCTCTCCAGGCGTTTTTATGTTATATTCTATTTTTGTGCAGTGTGAATGGCGGAAAGCTGGTTTTGCTGTTGAGGGCCCTCCTTTTGAGAAGGGATCCACCGAAAGCGAGCGCCCGAGTTGTGTGTGCAAAGAGCCATTTCTTTTTTTAACGCTGCTATTTGCAGCTCCTGTCAGTCAAATGCCTCTAGACTTTGGCATGAGAATATGGGTACGAATGACTTGAAGCTGTCTGGGGAAGGGAGAAAAAGGAAGTGACCCTGCTGTAGAAACCAGGGACTATATAGAGCAAATAGTTACTGTGGCGTGTGCATGGGCACGGGTGGAATGCGGAAGTCACTTGATTGAGCAACCGCAACAAAAAGTGTGACGACCAATTTAGGGCAGAGCGGTGGTGAATTTCAAGAACTTGGCTAACATCTGCAAAAGCGATAGGCTCCCCTCAAAAGCGATGGCCATATCGCAGCTAGTTTGGGACATGTCCAGCTATGTTTAAAGTAAACAGTTTACAAGGACCCCTCAAAAGCGATAACCTTGTTGAAACATGTCCTCTTCAATAGTAACAAGACCTTTGGCAGACGCTCATTTGGTGGAAGACCTACCATGAAGTGTTGGCTGCCTTCAGGCATCGCAATAGTTTTCAGGAAATCAGTTGTCCCTGCAACTAAGGTGGTACTGGAACACAGTTCGAGGGATCGCACAGAGCCAGGAACTCAGCTTAAACATAGTAGACGAGTGTTGCCTATGCCGGGCTTGAAAGTGTTTAAAGGTGCAAAGGTCCATTGTAGCAATCGAGTCGTTATTGTTTGAATCTCCACCAAGAATGGAAGAACCATGAAGAACACGAGAGTTTCCTCGCAGCGCAGGTGCTTTCCAGCATGGGTGCCAGAGGAAAGATTTGGGACCCGTCCAAGAGCAAAGAGGCACTGGTTCCGAGACCGCGCCGCATTGGTCACTCGCCCGGAACGGCGCGCGGCGCTGTTCGGCCACCGAGTCGCACCGTTTTTCATGCAGGAGAATACTTGCTTGGAGTACTCCCCAGAGGCCGTCTCGGAAGGTTTCTGTCAGTGCCGGACCAGGTCAATCCCTTTAGTGGATTGAATTCCAGGCATATGACTGGTTTGTGAAGAACAACCTTGCTGTTCCTCCAGAGTGCCATCGGCAGCATGAGGCATGCTGCGCTGCCATATCCCCGTGTCCAATGTGCTTTTCCAGCGATGCGGCTCGCATACATGGCTCTTGCGTGTGCCAATAGGCTGCCAAGAAGGCCGAAGAGGAAAGACAGGCAGAAGCAAAGCGTTGGGGGCCTCAGTACTGCAACGATGGCAGTGCTGCTTTTGTTGTTGTGTTTCGTTCGATGTTGAACCCTTGCGCCTTGGGAACTGCCGTGGGATGGTTTTTAGTCGGAGCGTTTTCGCCGTTCTGTGCGGCCATGAGGCCTCGCGGCAGAAAGCCCCAGTGGAATCGCCAACTCCGACTTGAAAGCACCTTGGCAACAGGATTTTGGGTCACCAGAGGTCGATCGGAGTTCCATTTTTCCATCGCAGAATGCAGCACCGGAGTTCCGATCAGACATTCCCTTTTGGTTGGAAAGGTGGAGAATGCAGAAGGTCTACCGGCATCCGGTCTCATGGACGAGGCATCCGCAGAAACCTCGCTGGTCGTCCCTGGGCCCACTACATACGGTCATGTGCAGGAGGAAGAAGATGAAGAAGAGGAAGAAGATGAGGATTTTTGCAAGTCTTCGAGTTTCATGTCAGTGTGCAGTTTTACTTCCATGAGAGATGCTTTTCAGGCGAGATTTTGCATCAAACTTGGTGAATACATGAGCTTGAGAGGACATCATTGTTCAAGATCCTGCGGCTATAAAGCCCAAGGGAATTTTCAGTTGCAGCCCATGCTGGTGTGGCAACAACTGTCAGGGTGCCCAGCTAAAGACAAGCATTTGGGCATTTGCGGTCGCCTGTTTCTGTGGCTTGCTAGTGTAGAGTACCTCGAGAGAAGAAAAGCAAGGGTGAAATGCTATTTGTAGTTTTGGTGGACAGGAAACCACAATTTGAATATGAGTATTAGGACGCTATTAGGTTGGAGGCCATCGCTACTAGCAACAAGAAGCTACTAGTAACAAGGACAACCAAGTCTTCGTCGCAAGCGCTAAGGATCGGCTGGAGAAGCGGATTTGTTGACGGGGAGTGATGGCAGCTGTTGATTGAGCACTTGTTGCAGCCTTCCGCTGCATGGAACAAGTTTCGATCGGTTTTAATATACGTTTAACTAGCTCGGAATCACAGCTGCAGCACTCCCTGCATCGACTCCAGAGTCTGCTTATGCTCTAGCCGAAGCTCCCGGGTTCATCTTTCGCTTACTCTCTTGCCAGCAGCTCAGCGCTCGTGAGCTCGGTGGAGCTCGGTGGAGCTCGGTGGAGCTCGGTGGAGCTCGTGCTAAGCACCAGAGAAGGAACGCTTCTGGCACTAGTCCTTCCTTGGATCTTCCGCGGTCCCGATTGACCCGGTGCCAAGGCTTTTTCTGAGCACTCATTGATTGCTCTGTGGTGCTGCCAAAGCTTGTGCCTAAGATTGGGACTGTCGGACTGTCAGATATGGGTCAAAACTCCCAGCCGGTTTGGTTTTCACCCTGGTAGGTTGACCTTCTCTAGGTCACCAGAGTCTCCCGTTCCGACCGGGTTCGATTGAAGGGACATAGACCAAAAATACACACCCGGTTTCACTGCGGACCAGCTTCACCCCCATATTCCAAATATGGGCTTTCAGGATGATCCCAGACGGGTCCTTGATGGTCCTTGATCAAGGACCGGTCTCCCTCAGGTCTCCCCTTCACACATGCACACGCATATGGTTGTGTATCAAAACCTAGGCCCCTAGACATTTGTTCTGTTCATTTTCCGTGGTCAGCCCGGGAAGACCCGGTTGAAAGACCCACAGCCCAAACCGCTTCTGCCGGCGCCCAAACCACTCGATCGGAACACCCTCCGGCTCGAGCCGAAGACCGAAAACCACCATTGTTTCGCCGCTGAAGACGGCGGTTTCGTCTCTCCTAGGCAGCCGACCACTTAACGCTTGAGAGGCAGGTGCAGTGCTCAGAGAAGAAGTTGTTGGTGTGTTATAGACACAGGAAGGGGCCTGTTGTGGTGGCAAACATGACTTATTAAATAGGTCAACCCTGTTTTTTCTGCGTTCGAAGTCTTGAATGATTTTGGGTTCGGTTTGACTCTGAAACACCACCACGTTGAGCGTGAAAAGCTTTGACTCCGATGTTTTGGGGAGACTGGTGACGGGTGACGGCGACTCAGGTGCTACCAGCTAGCGCTTCGATCGCTGGTCATGGGGTTTTCAATTATACAGTTGGAGAGGGCCACCCATGTTTGATCATATCACTTTTCTTGAAGCTATGTTGAGCACAGTTCTAGAAGGCTGTTCAATGCTGTTTTGCTGTTAACTATAGTGGGTCTTTTGCTTCTTTTGTCTGACAGAAAGTCCAAATGTGACCTGGTTGTGTGGCCAGTCCCCAATGGGGGAGGCCTAATTTGTGTACAATTGTGTACAATAGTGTCTGCCGCTTTTGTGAAGCGTTGCTTTCTCAGTGCGGCTGCCTAAGCGTCCGTGCCCCACGAGAAGGCAACCTTGACTGTTTTTTTTTCTTTGCCGCATGGTCACTTTGAATGCCAAAAGAATAAGCCATGCCGGGCGTTTCACCCCGTGCCCTCGCGCCAATGTTCCTTCCAGTCGTTTGCATATCAGTGTGCAAAGAGTCGCTGGACATATTGGTGCCGCGCCGCAAAAAGAGGCCTCGGTTGCAATTGCAAGATGTTTTTCATGCGACCCTTTTGTACCGTCCGATGCAATTGCTTTAACTTTGAAGTGTCCTTCCGCAAGTAGCAGATCAAAATGGCGACGGTGGAATTCTGCAGTGGCCAAATGTTTGTTGAGCAAAGGGCAGATATACTTCGGCATCTATCCGTCGGAGCCACACAAGTGAGTGAAATTAACCTGAGAACAACCTTCAAAAAGAACACCGTCAACAGGCTCAATGATTCTTATTCTTCAGTGTGCCTTTTCAGGACCTAGCATGGGCAGACCGAGATGTTAGCATGGGGGCTCCATCCATCTTGGAATCTCCGTCACAGCTTGGTGCAGACAAGCCGAAAGGTTGAGTCACCAAGCGTTTTCCGGAGAATGTCCTTCCCATCGTTGATTCTCGCCTTGAGTCGCTTGAGCCCAAAACCCCAAGCTGCTCTTCCCAGCTGCAAGGTGCGCAGGCGAGCCACGCGTGTCGACCAGTGTCGCTTGTGGGAAGCTTTGTCACCATCAAAGGCAGGTCCTCTCAAAATCACCTCCCAGCTGTTGGATCGTGCCTGGAAGATGTCTGGCTTCAGAGACCCTGATGCCATACACGGCCAAAGAAGTTTGCCGCTCTACCGTGTGGTCCACGCAGCCTTCCCAGAGCTCTTTCCGAGTGCCAGTGCCGCCAAAAAGGCCCTGAAGAGAGGCTATGTCTTGGTGGATGGAGAAGCCATGCCCAGCTCAAGCCTGTCGCCTCCGCTCGGATCAGTTCTGACAGCGTTTGTATCTCGAAGCTTGGAAAGCCCAAAGAATGACAGGCTGAAAAGCATCGACCAACGATTAGAGATGTGGAATTCAGGCAGGCCCAAATCCTCGAAGATTTACGTACTGCACAATGATGAGAATGCTGCATGGGCCGTGGTGAATAAGCCATCAGGCCTGCACACCTCACCTGTTGGACTCAATGCTTGGAAAAGCCTCACGCTGCAGTCCTACTTGCCTGCATTGATTGCTCCCCCGACTGGAGCGGGAACCCCATGCCGCAATGGGCCGAGACCATGCCACCGACTGGATTTTTTGGTGGCAGGTCCTGTAGCGGTGGCCGCTTCGGAAGAGGCCATGCGGTCCTTGAACCGTTCCTTCAAGAGCCGCAAGGTGCACAAGGAGTACCGGGCCATTCTTTGCGGATCTTGTGGAGGTCCAGGAGAATCCTTTTCCATCCACCTGCCGGTTGAGGGGAAGTCCTCACACACAGATGTAGACATACTGCAAGTTGTCCCCCATGAATACTATGGTTCATTGACCGAGGTCTCGCTGAAGCCTCGTGAAGGACGTCGTCATCAGCTTCGCATCCATTGCGCAGCCATTGGGATGCCGATTGTGAATGATGTGGCCCCAATCTATGCTTTGGCGCAAGAAGCTTGGCTTCAACGCTGGAAGCAAGCCTTGCCAGTGCAACAGCGAGTAGGTCAAGGCTTGTTCCTGCAGGCAGTGAAGCTTGCGGTTCCCCATCCATTTGACTCCATAGAAGTGTCGGTGGAAGTGGAGATTGCTGAGAAGTTCCGCAAAGTGCTGCACTCGGAAAACGTGAAGGTGCGACAAATGCATCTCATATGATTCTGACAGGCTTGTTTTGCCGCACTCGTAGCTGTCTCCCAAAGCATTCAAGAAGTTGCCCCGCAAGTTCCGTCGGTCAAGTTTCAAAATGCTGAGAACTGAGAACCTACACGTGTGTGTGTGTGTGTGTGTGTTAAACTAAACTGTGCAGGGTGCCTACTCAGAATATGGTGCAGTATCAGTAACTCTTCCAAAAGCATGAGGTCATACATCCGACAAGGGATAGGTTCCAACGGAGACAAAGGACATCCAGTCGAAAACACTTGTTGCTGTTTCATCGCAGTCCCTTCTTGAAGAAATATTGCTATATAGACCCTTCTGGTAAGAAGATTTCCCCTTGCGTTTGATACAGTGGTGCTTCCGTTGGATTAGGCCCCAAAGTTGACAAGTCGTGGTGACGAGAGGAGAACCCTTAGATGCCGTGTGCAAAGCGACTCTTGAGACTCCAACATCCTTGCTACGTCGTAGCAAGAAGATGGCCTCCAACCTACTACTGGTAGCAATGGCCTCCAACTGACTGGCGATGGCCTCCAACCGACTAGCGATGGCCTTCAACCTACTAGCTTCTTGCTACTAGTATACGCATGTTGTCTCGATGCCATGGATACGCAGCCGCCTCTGATCTCAAACCAAGGCGGCGTTTCTTTTCATCATTTGGATCTCAAAGCTCAAAACAAGTGGTCCTTTCTGACACGATGACGTAGCAGATCAGGTAGTGGACAGAATGATGCACCATCTCCACCTGCCTGTGCCTTGGGATGACCCACTCTGCCGATGTTACATCCTGAGAATGGACTTTTGGAGGCTCCGCTCGAGCAGCTTCCAGCCGAGGCGGAGCCAGGGTCAGGCGTTAGTTCTGGTGATGACATCCCTGACGTAGTCGTAGGTGTGTGATGCTTGTGGCAACCTTTTTATGCCAGACTCGATGCTTGGCAAGACAGCATGCACTTGGAAGCCGCCCACAAAAGCAAAGAAAGCAGACCAGAAACACAAATCAACAGGGAGACTGACTATTTCTTGTGATTTGGGTGTGGCCGTTCCAGTTCTGTTCTTGCTTCGTTTTGCTATATGCAAAGGAACTTTTGCCGGCAATGCGGGGCAGCACGCAAGGCCTTTGGCACAAGTCACGCATGTTGACAGAAGGAGCAAAGCGAACCCAAGATGGGTTTTTGCTACACCTAGAGGTCATGCTTCAACTGACACCTTCAAAAAGGGGTTTACGCTTTAGAAGATTTCAAACTCGTTCAGGGAACTGCGGCAGCTGCACCGAGCTTGCCAAAAGGAGCTTCCTTTGTTGAGGTGCCACACTGCCGCGCCACAAAATGAAAATGAATTAAACTTATTCTTTTTCGCAGAGTTTCAGGTGACTGCAGAAGCAGCTGCCCCAAACAGTTCGCTGCACTTGCAGGTGGGGAACTGCCAAAAGCGTGACTGGCTTTTCCAGCCTCGAAAGATTTGAACATCAGATGAAAAAGATACGTATAAACAGAGCAAAAGAGAGAAGAAAAGAATAGCGGCGGCCTCCAACCTAATAGCGACGGCCTCCATCATCCTCCATCTATATAGTGCACTTCAGCATCACGTGCCAACAGGTGCTCATTGAAATCGGCGGACGGTGGCTGTGGGCGAATGGTCTTGTGGCAATTGCAAGGACCTCACTAACCTCACTTGTGGATTCGTAAGTTCTGAAGGTGCAAACAACTGGATGACCCGAGTGGTCGCCCAGGTTCTTCTGGGATTCAAAAACTTGAAGTTTGACTATCCAGCAGGCAGTTTTGCCATGTTTAGTTTAGCCTCCAAAGATTGGCCAATGGAATGATGTTTCTCGGAGTTTACAGCCAGGTTGGGCATGGGCTGAGCTGTGCATGCTCCTGACTTTTTTGCTTTTACTTTGCTTGCAGCGATGGAGCGGCTGCTATGCCAACAGGCAGGGCTTTTTCACAAGCTACGAGAAGACTTTGTTTTACTGAGAAGGCAACAAGGACAGGATCCTAGAGGATCTCACTATTTCCCTCTACTAGTAGTAACAAGTGCCACGCTACTAGTAACAAGTGCCTTACTAGTAGTAACAAGAAGCTAGTAGCAACAAGTGCCACGCTACTAGTAACAAGTGATACGACGTTTGTTGCAGATTTACACAACATTAATACAACTAATCAGTAGACGAGTGTCAACTGGTCTTCAGGGCTCAAAGCGCGATCTCAATGGCATGCTTCCTGGCGCTCTCTGGAGTACTGCTGCTACTGGTCAGCTATTTCGCTGGTTTGCAGGACTGGCAGCTTCGCTGGCAGCGAAGCTCTGGCGCTTTTTCACAGTCTTCGAAGTGACTGAGGAAACGACTGAACGGAGTGGCATGAAGTGACTGACCAGGTCTATGTGATGGAGGCAGAGTTTGTCATGGGTCTAATTTCTCTGTTTGCTCCTCGAAGTTGCAGCTTGAAATGATGTTCGATTTGCGATGTGCGATCCACCAAGGTCGATATTGGCTGGTCAGTTCCTCTTGGGAGTCATTGCAGGCCACAAGTATTCCAAGAGGTGCCAAAGCCGCACTACTTACTTTGTCTTATTTCTACTGTATGTTTTTTGCCGGGGGTAGGCCGTTAATAGCTTAAGTAGCTAGTTGTAAAGGGTGGCCAGAAAGCTATTACCTAGGACGCAGGCTGGGGCTCAGGCCTCTTCAAGAAAGCTGAGGGTGGGGGGGGGGTTCCTTGAAGAAGCTTGAGCCTTAAACCTTAATGATTTGGTTACAAAAATTGTTTGGGAAACTTAAGGTAGTAGCTTCTTGCGCCTTAGTAGCGTCCTTGCTCCTAGTAGCGATGCCCTTTGTTCCTAGTAGCTTCTTGCTCCTAGTAGTAAGGCCAGGAGCTCCGTTCGTAGCGTCTTGCTCCTAGTATGGTTCGGGAAACTTGACTGATCGAAGCGTTGAATTTGGGCGGTACAACGATCGGTCAATCAAACTGGCGAGGACTGGCGACTCAGTTCTGGTGTATTTGGCAGCTGCTGTAGCGTTTGCTGCTTTGGTCACTGCTTGGGTGGTGGCCACTCGCAAAGATCATTGCATGAAGGAATTGAAACCTAGCCCATGGCGCAAGCGCCTGTTTCCAACAACAAATGGGTCTCCTTTGAAACCTTTGCTTGAAACTCCAAAGAAGTTGGAAGCAGACCAGGAAATGAAAATAGACAAGCGGGGGCACCTACACGCGGCTTCCAACTTGGCCCCTGCCCTTCCGGTGCAATTAATAGACAAGCGGGGTATGTGTTCCTTTGGCCTTTTGCACCTAAAGCTTTGGGAAGCTTGGGGGCCAAGGACTTGGTGGCTGGAGCACTGAGCGCTGAGCAGATGTGACTTGGAAGAACACCAGTCAGCATTTTCATGGCTGTCTACAAGAAAAGCACCGCAAACGGCAAACACTTTCAACATTCAGCGCTCGAGAAAATTTGATTCAACACCCTTTGACCAGGTATGCAGCCATGGTTGCTGGCTTGACGCTGCTGCTAGTGAGTGTTCTAAGTTCAATGATATGTGCATGTCGTACAATATCTGAATTCTAAAATAATAATCCTATAATCTTGAAGCCTTGAATCCCATTTCATTTAATAGCATTTAACCTTTCCCCAAAAATCTTGAAATATTACAAAATATATTATCATAAATACATATAATATCATATAATTGTGATATACTTATTACGAAAGCCAGCCGATAGGCTAGGCTTGAGCCTTTAGAGCGAACGAAATGAGTTAAGGTGGTATTGGGGGGGTGGTCGTTGAAAGGGACCTTTGGAAAAGGTTAACTTAGAGCTTGGTGGGGGAGAGCGCTTTAAAGCGAGGATCCGAAACACAACAAACATGGGGTTTGGTGATGCGAATGATGCAATGGACACCGACATTAGCATCGCATAAGGTGTTGGAAATTATTTGGACAATGGATATTAAGCAATCGAATGGAAATTATGTAGAATAGATCGTAATCGTACGTAAATTAAGAATTCCTGTTTGTATTATAATCCGTAATTCGCGAAATTATAAAGAGCCGAAAATAATATAATTTAAATTTATGAAATTGAATTGATTTTCGGTGGGATGTTGGCGAGGTTGCTTTTATATTCGTATAGGATTTTTCTTCCTTAAATAAAGATTGTATTTTTTTGTTTAAATTATATTTTCAATCGAATGGATATTTTTCGGTTCGTTTTTTCGCGTCGAATGTTATTGCGGCTTATTATTGAAACCAAATATATTAATAAACCAAAAAAAAAATAAATTAATACATAAATAAATAGATTAATAGATTAATTTTATATATTATTGATTTATGACGAATGACGTTATTTTTTTGTTGATAATTTTGATCGAATTTAATTAATTTGGATTTACGATTTATAAATTTATATATGTAGGGGGTAAAATTAAGGCTTCTGAATGAATAAAATATAGAAATGATAAGAAAGAATATAATAAATAATATATTTGGATTAATCTTTTAAAAGATAAATTTAGGCATATTTATTGATAAATATATAAATCTTCATTATTTTGTTTCGTTTTGCGCTATGGGATTAAAGATCTATGTCTCGGCTAAAATATATTCATTTATTCTTCCAAATTAACGATTGCCGTTTTTCGATATGTCGCAAGATACAAATTTCAAATTCTAATTAATTATATAAATGTTTCTTTTTAATCACATGCCGTATTCGCGCACGTGGCGATATTCATTATGGAAAAGATCTTCCTAAACGCGCGCATGTGGTATTCCACCACTCGAATTTAGATTGTATTTTCTCTCATTAATGTTGATGTCGCCTTCCAACTTCCATAAAATGCATATCTTCCTACACCTATACTAACATAGAATATATTGGATTTCTCTTTTATTTTTTCTTTCAGACTAAACTTATCCCAAAGCCGCCCGGCTTGCTTCTCTACTCCCTCTATCATCATTATTTATCCCCCCCCCCGCATCTGCGGCATCGTTGACTTCGCAAATTGCCGACCATGTGTCTTGTGCCAGGACGCCCGCCAGAAAAAGAGACACTCGTCTGGCACCTGCTGGCTTTCGTTCCCCCTTCTTAGGTTTATGAATTTATATTTGCTATTTTTGCAAGAAAATTTAGGGAACGATTTTTACGAAAGACAGCCGATAGGTAAGGCTTGAGCTTTTAGTGCGAACGAAGTGAGTTAAGGGGGGTGGGGTGGTCGTTGAGCGCTTTCTTTTGATAGGGTGAACCCAGAGCTTGGTGGGGGAGAACGCTCCAAAGCGAGGGTCCGAAAAGCAACGAAAATGGGGTCTGGTGATGCGAATGATGTAATGGATGTCGAATAGTGCATTATTAGCATTATGAAGGGCTTTGGAGATTATTTGGATATTGGGCATAGAGGATTCGAATGGAGACAGGGACTAGGGGTCTACGTAATGAAATGCTAGTTGGTTTTCGTTCCCCCTTTTCAAATTTAAAGAAAGGAATTATATTATCCATTGGATATTTAATAATTGAAATATGGGTTTGTATATTATTCATAAAAATATGATAAGGTCATTAATAGGGGCGCACGCACGTAATTCGACGAAATCAAAAGTTCAAAAAATACGCATTTTTTTGGATTTTCTGCGATGTTATTTTTCTTTTTGGCGGCTTCATATTTGGTGTTTGGCTTTAGCTTAGCGGAAAGCACCCAAAATAGTTCGACTCTTTTGGAAGCTTGAAATTTGCGATTTCCAATAAAAATTGAATCCCTGTAGGATTCTGGTCTCCGCACGATTTGTTTTTGAATATTCATTTTGTTGTCACGATTCCTCGCTTTGGCAGATTATTGGAATCATTCATTGAATTTTCTTTCGAGCAAAGCAATAAATTCCAAAAAGGCACAGCATTTTCGGAAAGCCATTGTGATCCGATATTTGTAAGTTATGCGACATTCGAGAATTGGTCTCGGCACGCATTACTTTATTCGTCGAAACAATTAGTTATTTTGTAGTTGTTTGTTTTATTGTTACGGCTCCTCGCCTTGGAGAATTATTGGAATCATTCATTGGTTTTTTCGATCAAAGCAATAAGTTTCAAAAATAACCAACTTTTTGTTTGAATTTTTCATTTATATATAGATGGGAAGAATTTTGTTTTTATATATAGATGGGGACGATGGAGGATTCTTTCCGAATTTACCCATTTATCCCTATCGTATCGATAATTAGCGACTGCCCGAAAATGAACGGAATATTGAAATGACGAAATATATTTATGGATTCGGATGCATTATTAATACGTTATTTTTCGTAGATTTGATTGATAATCGCGATCTTTGTGGAAATTATTGCCAAAGATTATTGCGTAGGCCGGAGCGCTGGAAATTAAATCGCATGAATATATGTTAAAATATTGTTTTTGTGACCTGAAAACCGTGGACTACTTCAATGATTCTTCCACCCATACGACATATTAAAACCGTAGATTAACTCCATAGGCATATAAAAGAAATACGGACATTATTTTCTTTATATGTG